CCCAGTGAACCCAAAAGTCTGTTCTTTGTGTCTGTGTCTCCTTTGCTGCTCGGCATGAGGATCGCTGGTAGCGTGTTTCTAAGTTCCATATATATGTGTTAATATACAGTATTTGTCTTTCTCTTTCTGACTTACTTCACTCTGTATAATAGGCTCTGGGTTCATCCATCTCATTAGAACTGACTCAAATGTGCTCCTTTTTATAGCAGAGTAATATTCCATTATTAGTCCCTTGGACTGCAAGGAGATCCAACCAGTCCATCCTAAAGGAGATTAGTCCTGGGTGTTCACTGGAAGGACTAGTGCTAAAGCTGAAACTCCAATACTTTGGCCACCTCATGCGAAGAGTTGACTCATTGGAAAAGACCCTGATGCTGGGAGGGATTGGGGGCAGGAGGAGAAGGGGATGACAGAGGATGAGATAGTTGGATGGCATCACTGACTTGATGGACATGAGTTTGAATAAACTCCGGGAGTTGTAATGGACAGGGAGGCCTGGTATGCTGCGATTCATGGGGTCACAAACAGTTGGACACAACTGAGTGACTGAACTGAACTGAATATTCCATTGTGTACATGTACCACAACTTCCTTATCCATTCATCTGCCAATGGACATCTAGCTCGCTTCCATGTCCTAGCTATTGTAAATAATGTTGCAATGAACATTGGGGTACATATGTCTCTTTCATTTCTGGTTTCCTCATGGTAAATGCCCAGCAATGGGATTGCTGGGTCATACGACAGTTCTATTCCCAGTTTTTTAAGGAATCTCCACACTGTTTTCTATAGTGGCTGTACCAGTTTGCATCCCCACCAGCGTGTAAAATGGCTCCCTTTTCTCCATACCCTCTCCAGCATTTACTGTTTGTGGACTTTTTCCTTATCTCTTATAATTCTTTATTTTAAGGTCTATTTTGTCTGATATGAGAATTATTACTCCAGCTTTCTTTTTATTTCCATTTGCATGCAATATATTTTTTCCATCCTCTTACTTTCAGTCTTTAGGATTGAAGTGAGTCTCTTGTAGACAGCATATATATGGGTCTTGTTTTTGTATCCATTCAGCCAGTCTTTCGGTTGGAGCATTTAATCTATTTACATTTAAAGTAATTATTGATATACATGTTCCTATTGCCATTTTCTTAATTGTTTGGGATTTGTTTTTGTAGATCTTTTTCTTCTCTTTTATTTCCTGTCTGCACAAGTCCCTTTAACATTTGTTGTAAAGCTGATTTGATGGTACTAAATTCTCCTAGCTTTTGCTTGTCTGTAAAGCTTTTGATTTCTCTGTCAATTTTGAATGAGATCCTTGTTAGGTACAGTAATCCTGGTTGTAGATTTTTCACTTCAGTACTTTAAATATATCCTGCCATTCCTTTCTGATAGCTTCCTGATAGCTCAGTTGGTAAAGAATCTGCCTGTAATGCAGGAGACCCCGGTTCAATCCCTAGGTCGGGAAGATCTGTTGGAAAAGGGATAGGCTACCCACTCCAGTATTCTTGGGCTTCCCTTGTAGCTCAGCTGGTTAAGACTCTGCCTGCAATGCAGGAGACCTGGGTTCAATCCCTAGGTTGGGAAGATCCCCTGGAGAATAGAAAGGCTACCCACTCCAGTATTCTGGCCTGGAGAATTTCATGGACTGTGTAGTCCATGGGGTCGCAAAGAGTCGGACACAACTGAGCAACTTTCACTTCACATTCCTTTCTGGCCTGAAGAGTTTTCACTGAAAGATCAGCTGTTCAATGTATGGGATTTCCCTTGTATGTTACTTATAGCTTTTCCCTTGCTGCTTTTAATATTCTTTCTTTGTGTTTAATCTTTGTTAGTTTGATTAATCTTAGTGTGTTTCTCCTTGGGTTTATCCTGGATGGAACTCTGTGTTTTTTGGACTTATTTCCTTTCCCAAGTTGGGGAAAGTTTCGACTATAATCTCTTCAAAAATTTTCTCATACTGTTTCCTTCTCTCTTCTTCTTCTAGGACCCCTATAATTAGAATGTTGGTGTGTTTAATGCTGTCCCAGAGATCTCTGAGACTATCCTAAGTTCTTTTCATTCCTTTTACTTTATTCTGCTCTTCAGGAGTTATTTCCACCATTTTTATCTTCCAGCTCACTTATCCATTCTTCTGCCTCAGATATTCTGCTATTGATTCCTTCTAGAGTATTTTTAATTTCAGTAAATGTGTTGTTTGTCTCTGTTTGTTTATTCTTTATTTCTTCTAGGTTTTTATTAAGTGTGTTAACTGATTCTTGCATTTTCTCCATTCTATTTTCAAGATTTTGGATCCTCTTTACTCTGAATTCTTTTTCAGGTAGTTTGCCTATTTTCTCTTCATTTATTTGGACTCTGTGTTTCCAGGTTGTTCCTTCATCTGCACAGTGTTTCTCTGCCTTTGCATTTCTCTTTTTTTAACTTATTGTGTTTGAGGTCTTCCTTCCCCAGACCTCAAGGTTGAATTCTTTCTTCCTTTTGGTTTCTGCCCTCTGTGGGTAAGGTTGGTCCTGTGGTTTGTGAAAGATTCGTGTAGGGTGTGACTTGTGCTTGTGTTTGGGCTGGAGGAGGCAATTTTTTCTTCACCCTCTGGTGGGCAGGGCTGTGTGAGGTGGTAATCCTGTCTGCTGATTGTTTGGTTTGTATTTTTGTCTTCTTGGTTTTTTGGATAAGGCCTCCTGCACAGGATGCTGCTGGAAGTTGGGTGATGCCAGGTCTTGTATACAGGTGGTTGTCTTTGTGGGAGTTCTCACTAATTAATACTCCCTAGGGTTAGGAGTTCTCTGGTAGTCTAGGGTCTTCGAGTCAGCACTCCCACTCCAAAGGCTCAGGGCTTGATCTCTGGCCAGAGAATGGAGATTCCACAGGTGATTTGTTATGGCATTAAATGGAATTAAAACAAACACCCAAAAGCAAGAAAAAAAAGAGGCGCCCCAGACAAGTGGCAATACAAAATCAAACAAATAATAACTAAAATAATGGAATATACACACATACATATACATCCATAAACAAAACCAAAACAGTCAAAAAAAAAAAAGAAGTACAATAGACTGACCCAGCATGCAAAGGAATCAAAATGGATACCAAAAATGGTATCAACCAGTTAAAAACTAACTACAGCACAAACTAGAAAACAAAACTAAAGCAAGGTGCCAACTGGGGAATAAAGCAACAAAAACAAAACAAACAATATTGTTTGTAGACTTTTTTATGAGAGTCATTCTGACCAGTGTGAGATGATATCTCATTGTGATTTTGATTTGCATTTCTCTAATAATGACTGATGCTGAGCATCTTTTCACGTGTTTATTACTCATAATAAACGTCTTCTTTGGAGAAATTCTGTTTAGATCTTTTGCCCACTTTTTGATTGGGTTGTTTGTTTTTCTAGCACTGAGCTGCAAGAACTGCTTGTATATTTTGGAAATTAATTTTTTATCAGTTGTTTCATTTGCTATTATTTTCTCCCATTCTGAGGGCTGTCATCACCTTGCTTAAAGTTTCCTTTGCTGTGCAAAAGCATTTAATTAGGTGGCACTTGTTTATTTTTGCTTTTACTTCCATTATTGTAGGAGGTGGGTCATAGAGGATCTTGGCTGTGATTTATGTTAGAGAGGGTTCTGCCCATGTTTTCCTCTAAGAGTTACAGTTTCTGGTCTTACATTTAGGTGTTTAATCCATTTTGAGTTTATTTTTGTTTATGGTGTTAGAAAGTGTTCTAGTTTCATTCTTTTACACATAGTTAATCAGCTTTCCCAGCACCACTTGTTGAAGAGACTATCTTTTCTCCACTGTATATCTGCTAACATCTTAAGCATACTCACCACAGGGAGGGAAAAGGAGATGCCTAAGTTGACTATGTAAGGTAATGGATGTGTTATTATGATCTTGCTAATTATTCTACAATATACATGTATATCAAATCATCACATCATCACACCATACACTTTAAATATACACAATTATATTTGTCAATTATTCCTCAATAAAGTTAAAAAAAAAAAGTATATCAGTCAACTGCGTATCTAAAAAGAAAAGGTTTAACTGAGGCATTAAGCTAAAAACCCTGATTTCTAATGCAGCTATAGCATATTTTCATGCTGCCCCAATAATAAAGAGTATTTTATTTTCTTTTAAAAGGAAATAAAACATTAATCTTGAAAGATTATATAAATATATGTAGTAAAAATCCACTGGGGAAATTAAGAATAAAATTTTTTAAGTTTTTATTTCCATTGTTTCAAGTGATAGATTTTCAAGTGAAAGTAACCGAACCATATCTTTATTTCACTGACCCTTTTTCATGCCACAACAATTTAATGCTACATACTAAATCTCTCAGGCTAACCAATTAATCTGGTGTGAATTACAGTGCACTTCTCATAATTAATACATGTATATGCATATCAATAATAAAACAAAACTCAAATTTCATATGATGGTAACCAAACATAGTATTTATTTGGATGGCTTATTTTAAAATAGTAAACTTTTCATTTTTATTTACCATAAAACCTTTTCTTATATATCTTTTCACCTAATGATAAATTTTCAACAATATGTCTATTATCCATATGTCATAAGTTGACCTATAGTAAGGTAATACATATATAATACATATATGTATATATACATATACATATATAAAATATGTATATTTTATATACATAAAATGTATTTATATAAATACATATATAAAAATATGGCCTTTGGAGTCAGGAAATTCTGTTTCAAGTTTGACTACACCACTTGTTAGCCATGTAATTCAAAGTAAATAACTTTATATTTTTGAGTATCAGCTTCCTTACTTACAAGTGAGTTATAATATCTCAGAAGGCTTGTGTGTGTTAAATGAAATAAATTATGTAAATCTATTGTATCTTACAGGGTATGGTTAAACAATAAGTAACAAAATGATTATTATTTTTCCCTAATGTTCTTGTTGCTATTGCTAAAATTTTAAATGTAAAATATTTTTATTAATCTTAAAATCTCACTTTATGAAGATTATTTTATTCTTTCTTCCCTCCTTTAAAATTCCTTTGGTTCTTCCTCTGTCTTTCTTTTCTTCTTCTAGAGCTCCTATAATACATATTTTGATCTGTTCTATGGTATCCCATAAATCCATTAGGCTATCTTCACTCTATTTCATTCTTTTTACTTTTATTCCTTTGATGGAATCATTTCCAATGATGAGTATTCAAATTCTCTGATACTTTCTTCTACTTTAGTCTGATGCTGAAGTATTCTAGGAAATTTTTTCAGTTCAGTTACTGTGTTCTTTAGCTTCATGCTTTCTATTTGGAACTTTCAGTATTATCTATATCTTTGTTGAAATTCTCACTTGGTTCATGCGACGTTTTCTTGATTTTGGTAAAAATCTTTATGACAGTTACTTTGAAATATCTGTCAGATAAATCGTATAATTCCATTTTATCAGAGTCAGTTTCTGGTAGTATACTAGATGCTAGAGAACAAAAATTAATAAGAAACCGTCACTGACTTCAAGGAATTTTCAGCAATAAGGAAAAAGAGATTATTAAATGACTGCAATGCAATAAAAACTATCATGGAAAAGGCCTGTAAGTCATAGGAAAGGTGCCTGCAAACATATGGGTAGAGATAGTCAAATCCACCTAGCGGTACTGTTTCTCAGAGAAAGAAATACTTCCCTGAGTCTAAATTAACATTTTACCAAGTAAACAAAGAATCTGAGACAAAGAGAAAATAGCATCCACAAAAGTATGAAGGCTTGAGAGAAGTTGAACTAGGACAACTAAGTCAGACTAGAGAAGTTGGACTAGAAATTGGATAACTGGTTGGACTATTTGGTGAGCTAGATAACAGTGAGCAATTAGACATGGCTTTTTCATCAGTCCTATCAGAAAACTAATCTTTCCACAAACTTCTGTTGTTCAAATCACTTCATTCAATAAATAAATACAGAATTAATTTTTGCTTAATTTTGTAAGCACTCTGCCTGGTTCAATAAGAGGACATGGATTAACCATACTCAGATTCTACCCAGAAGCAGGTTATAGTCTAGAAGAAAAGAGCAACAGAAACTTTTAAAAATCATAAAAAATGTCAGGTGTCTCTCAAGAGAGAAAATTAGGGTGGTGTAGATGTTTTCCCAGGGAAAATAATACTTAAATGGAAGGGCATATGGAAAGAAAACATACCAGGAATTCATTGGAGAGTTCATTTTTGACCTATAGGCCTTATTTCTCATAAGAAACACAGATTAGTTATCCACCAGCTTAGGAACAGGCAATGTGCATATTACATATTACATATTTTATATATTACAATGTGCACCTTACATATTACACAACTCTGAAAGAAAGAAAATGGAAGCCTATCTGAAGGCAATAAACTTCATTCACATGAGCTCAGCCCTCCATATCCATGGGTTCCACATGCCCAGATTCAATGAACCAAGGATCAAAACTTTTTTTTTCAATTCCAAGGTGCCAGAAGGCAAAACTTGAATTTGCCACTTGCTGGTAACTACTTACATAGCATTTACACTGCATAAGATATTATAAGTAATCTAGAGACAATAAAGTATACAGGAGGATGTGCATAGGTTACACACAAATATTACATCATTTCATACAAAGGACTTGTGTATCTGGATTTTGGCATCCACACGGGTCCTAGAACCAATCCTACCCAGGCACCAAAAATAGCTGTACAAGATTCAAAGAAAGTACAATATGTTGTTCCCAATTATGTTGACAGTGTTCAAGTCTGACTGGAAAGACAACACTACAATACTGTGTTATGGATTAAATTACATCACCCCAAAATCTGTATATTGATGTCTTAACCCTGTGACTCTACTAAGAAACAGGTTTCCTATAGAAGGAATCATGTTAAAATCAGGTCATTAGACTAGGCCCTAGTCCAATATGACTGATATCCTTATAAAAAGGGAATATTTAGAGACAGACATGTAACACACAGAGAATGCCTGTGAAACTGAAGACAGAAATCAGGATGGTATTTCTACAGACCAAGGAACACCAAAGACTGCTAGCAAACTACAGAAAGCTAGAGGAGAGGCACTGAACAGATTCTTCTTCACAACCTTTAGAAGGAACCAACCCTGTCAACACATCAGTCTCAGACTTCTGTCCTCCAGAACTCTGAAACATTAAATTTCTGTTTTTTTAATCAATCAGTTTATGGTTCTTTATAAAGGCAGCCCTAAAATACTAAAACAACATAGGATGAACAAAGGGGAAAACCCTGCATAAACAATTTTTCAATTGTTGGTATAAACAGCCATGGTTCTTATGGTTCAGGGAACTTTTTATAAACTAGAATGTCCCTTCAATCATGCATACCCACACATGTGCAAGCACAATATTCAAAACCCAAAAGAATCAACAATTATATTTTAAATGAAATTATGTTTAATTTCTCATTAATATTCTCAACATATTCTGAATATACACTATATGCTTACATTCCATTCAGAGTGTGAGGCTCAAGGAAGTTAACAAGATTCAGTTACTAATGGGATGGGAGTTCACAATCAAGCCCTGAGTCCCCTATCAGAATTCTCATAGCATTTGCTGTGTATGAAGTATATTACTTTTTATGTTTTATTCAACTGAATCCATTCTTTAACTTTTTTTATAGAGAAGCCTCCTCTCAGAATGACTAAGAACCATATAGTAGATATTCAATATCAATCATTCATCAAGTAGTCAAATTATACTAGTTTTCCCAAAATACATAATACCTAGATAAGTATTTGATAAAATATAAAGTCCTCTATAAATGTTAATTAGTACTATCATTATTCTTCTAATCATTTATGACAACAAAAGCACTTATTGTGTTTCATTTTAAGTATTTCCAAGTTAATTTATTCAAATTTGATTTTTCCCTCACAACTTATTTCATTATGGTAAAAAAAATTAAAAGGTTGAATCACACTAAATAGTCATATGGAGTAAGATTCTAAAAAAAACCTCACCAGACAATCTCAAAAGAAAAGGTCTTTGACACACTCACCACTTTCAAAGCAAGCATCAAAGATAAGATGTCCTTTCTTGGGCTGTCCACAGTATCCAGTTGGAAGCACCACATATTTGCTCACATTCCCTCCGATGGCATCATCATTTCCCATGTCACTGCCTATTGTTCAAAAAATTGGTTCTTGTTAAGCAGAAATCAAAATGCATTTAGTAACACAAGTCCAGCAAAAATTTTATTATTATATTCCCCCTGTAATTTAGTGCTTATCCAGGCACTAAAGAAATCAACCACATATTGTGATGAAGTAGAAAGAGAATAGATTTTTAAATCAGAAAGATATGGGCTCAAATCTCATCTTTACTACATATTAATTCTCCGTGACGCAAGGCAATCACCTTAATCATTTTGAGCCTCAGTTTCTCTCATCCATAAAAAGGAATGGTAAAATCCATATTTCAAAACTTTGTTATGAGAATTAGATATGAAAAATATCTCTATAACCAATGAAAGAAGACATTCATTAAATTTTATCAATTATGTAAATAAATGGTAACATTTAACTTGTAACAAATAGCTACTTTCTTGTGAATAAAGCAACAGTTCTATAACTAGTATTATAAATACCTAATATACCAATACCAGAAATAATTTGAGAAACACTGACTTAGTATAAAAGCTGTATTTCCTAATAGGAGCTTAAATTTTTTTAAGTTTTAGAAGTTTCACTTCCATTTAGAATGTAGAACGCTGGAAAGATCATCTTTTCCATCTTAATAGAAAAATCCCAGTAAAGAACAAAAACAAAACTTATAAAAATCTATGGTAACTGAAATTCTATTATCCAAGAAAAGTCAGGCTCTACCAAAAAGGGATGAGAAGCAAGCACTGACCCCTCTATGTCAGAGCACAGGAGAAAGAAATGCTGGGTCCCATACAAATGACTAAAAAGAAGTTAATTTTTTAAAAAATGATTAAAGGTCAAGTTTGGGGAACAAGAGATAGTAGAACCCCTGGGAGTCACAGGCACAAAAGGAAGTTCACAGCACTGGCAGACTCTCCTACACAAGCCTTCATCAAGTGTTTAGGAGAAAGATCAGAAGCAAGACAGAAGACTAGAAAATGCCTTTCTCTGTGACGCAGACCTGCAAAGGGAGAAAGGCCCCACGAATATAATTTTCCCTATAGAAAAAAGGGCCTAAGTCACTGGGGAAGAACAACAAACTCTGCAACCGCAGTGCACAAGGGAGACTCATTGTAAGAGGAGAAGTATTAAAAGGAAAAAAATTCTCCACATTTAAGGGAAGAGCAGCAAACCATCCTGGGAGTAAGACAATATATCAACATTATTGAAGGGCTCAAACCTTGGAGGAGGAGTAAAAATCATTCTCTCACAAAGCATATCAAAGATTCAAGGCAGAATTAAAAGTGGAGAATGAAACTCAACCGACCTTAACACCTGACTAAGACAGAAGTCACTCACCTAGCCAGACATCCTGGACTGTGAAATCAAGTGGGCCTTAGGAAGCATTACTAAGAATAAAGCTAGTAGAGGTGATGGAATTCCAGCTGAGCTACTTCAAATCCTAAAAGATGATGCTGTTAAAGTGCTGCATTCAATATGCCAGCAATGTTGGAAAACTCAGCAGTGGTCTCAGGACTGGAAAAGGTTCATTTTCAATCCAATCCCAAATAAAGGCAATGTCAAAAAATGTTCAAACTACTGTAAAGTTGTACTCATTTCATATGCTATCAAGAATATGCTCAAAATCCTTCAAGCTAGGCTTCAGCTTTACATGAAATGAGGACCTTCAAATGTACAAGCTGGATTTAGAAAAGACAGAGAAACTAGAAAAATTACCAACATCTGCTGGATCATTAAAAAAGCCAGGGAATACCCACCCCAAAGAAAAAAGCATCTACTTCTGTTTCATTAACAACCTAAAGCCACTGACTGTGTGGATCACAACAAACTGTAGGAAATTCTTAAAGAGATGGGAATACCAGACCACCTGACCTGCCTCTTGAGAAACCTGATGTAGATCAAGAAGCAACAGTTAGAACTGGACATGGAACAATGGTTTGGTTCAAAACTGGGGGAAGAGTACATCAAGGCTGTATACTGTCACCCTGCTTATTTGACTTGTATGCAGAGTACATCATGTGAAATGCTGGGCTGGATGAATCACCAGCTGGAATGAAGACTGCCGAGAGAAATAGCAACAATCTCAGATAACTACATGGTACCACCCTAATACCAGAAAATGAAGAGGAACTAAAGAGTCTCTTGATGAGGGTGAAAGAGAAGATTGAAAAGCTGGCTTAAAACTCAACAGTCAAAAAACTAAGATTACAGCATCCTGTCCCATCACTTCATGGCAAATAGATGGGAAAAAAGTTGAAACAGTGACAGATTTTATTTTCTTGGGTTCTAAAATCACTGTGATGGTGACTGCAGCCATGAAATTAAAAGATGCTTGCTCCTTTCAAGAACAGCTATGACAACCCTAGGCAGCATATTATAAAGTAGAGACATCACTTTGCCAAAAAGACCTGTATAGTCTAAGCTATGGTTTTTCCAGTAGTCATGTACAGATGTGAGAGTTGAACCATAAAGAAGGCTGAGCACTGAAGAAACTGATGCTTTTGAATTGTGGGGCTGGAGAAGACACTTGAGAATTCCTTGGATGCCAAGGAGATCGAACCAGTCCATCCTAAAGGAAATCAACCCTGAACATGCACTGGAAAGACTGGGACTGAAGCCAAAGCTCCACTATTTTGGCCACCTGATGCAAAAAGCTGACTCATTGGAAAAGACCCTGATGCTGGGAAAGATTGAGGGCAGGAGGAGAAGACGTCAACAGAAGATGAGATGGTTGGGTGGCAAAACTCAATGGAAATGAGCTTAACCAAACTCCAGGAGACAGTGAAGGACAAGAAAACCTGGCATGCTGCAATCCATGGGGTTGCAAAGAGTCAGACACAACTTAGCGACTGAACAACAATGGTATATAGATATAGATATATATACAATGAAATATTATTCAGCCATAGAAAGGAATGAAATTCTAAGACAAGATACAATATGCATGAACCTTGAAAACATTATGTAAAATGATATAAACCAGACAAGGACCAATATTGTATGACTCCCACTTATACACCTAGAATAGGCAAATTCATAGAGAAAGAAAGTAAAATAGAGGTTACCAGGAGCTGGACAAGGAATGAATGGGAGTTATTATTTAACAGTTAGGAAGAGTTTCTGTTTGAGATGATGAACAGGTTCTAGAAAAGGTTAGTGGTGGTGGTTACACAATAGTGTGAATGTACTTAATGCCACTGAATTGTACAATTAAATGATTAAAATATTAAATGTTAGAAAAACAAAAATCAGTAGTTGTCAGGGACTGCAGATAAGAAGAGGTGTTGACCACAATTTAGTCAACTAGATTGTACAATTAAATGTATAATACAATCAAAACTCTGAAATCTTCTTTGACCCCTGACTGTCTCAGCAGAGATATAAATACATTCCTTTCATTTGCCAGAGTGGTAAATACACAGCATGTGTGGTTAGGGGTGGATGTGTACCACAGTGACTTGAAAACTCTTCCTGGAAATTCCTTAAGGTACTTACAGAGATAGAGAGGAAAGCACTTACTAATATGACAACTACTAGCCATGAGAGAGTAACTAAGATTAGATCCATAATCCCATCATCAGTTCAGTTCAGTCACTCAGTCGTGCCTGACTCTTTGCGACCCCATGAATCTCAGCACGCCAGGCCTCCCTGTCCATCACAAACTCCCAGAGCCTACCCAATCTCATGTCCATCGAATCGGTGATGCCATCCAGCCATCTCCTCCTCTGTCTTCCCCTTCTCCTCCTGCCCCCAATCCCACCCAGCATCAGGGTCTTTTCCAATGTGTCAACTCTTAGCATGACCTGGCCAGAGTACTTGAGTTTCAGCTTCAGCATCAGTCCTTCCAATGGAACACCCAGGACTGATCTCCTTTAGGATGGACTGGTTGGATATCTTTGCAGTCCAGTCCAAGGGACTCTCAAGAGTCTTCTCCAACACCACAGTTCAAAACCATCAATTCTTTGGTGCTCAGCTTTCTTCACAGTCCAACTCTCATATCCATACATGACCATTGGAAAAACCATAGCCTTGACCAGACAGACCTTTGTTGGCAAAGTAATGTCTCTGCTTTTTAAGATGCTATCTAGGTTGGTCATAACTTTCCTTCCAAGGAGTAAGCGTCTTTTAATTTCATAGCTGCAATCACCATCTGCAGTGATTTTGGAGCCCAAAAAAATAAAGTCTGACAGTGT